TCCTGGAGCTGTGAGCTGCACTGCTAGAGACTGAAGGAGGATTGGTTCAAGCATTCCCTTGGCCACCCTGGCTGGTGTCTCACTAGGTCGCATGACACAAAGTCCACTGCCTCCAAGCTCAGCATAGCACAAGGACTAGTCAAGAAATTCCAAGTCCTTGTGGCCTAGACTGTCTTTCAAATTTATATGGGATCCCAAAGCACTTTAGCCTGCAGTTGGGAAGCTACCAGAAATTCCCCTCTGGCTAGGGCTGGTCTAAATGCTCTCTATGTGTACCAGCTGAATTTTGCCCTGTGTTGCATTCTACTATGATAGGCAGCACTAAGTTCCAATGCAAAGTCCCACAGTCACTGTGTTCTCCCTCCCCTAAGCACATAGATTCTCTCTGTGCCACGTGGCCACTGCTGGGGGATGGGGGAAGAGAGGTATCAGCAATTCAAGACTGTCTCTCCTACCCTCTTCAGTGCCTCTTTCCTTAATACACTGTTAAAACCAAGTACTGTGATCATTCTTCTGATTTTTGGTTCTTATGGAGGTGCTTTCTTATATGGATTGTTGTTAAATTTCATGCTTCTATGAGGGGAACAATCACTGGAAGGTTCTCTTTGGATATTTTCCTCCATTTGTCCCACTTTTTTCCTTTGTTTACAAACGTATTTTAACTCTTTTTTAAAAAATTGTGTAAATTTATGGGGTACAAGTGTAATTTTCATACACAGATAGATTGTGTAGTGGTGAAGTCGGCACTTTTAGGGTATCCATTACCTGAATCTTTTCCTTAACCTAGCAAAGATAGTAGGTGGGTGGCGTATGCCACAAATCAAATACTTATGCAAAGAAATAAAGGGATATATATATAAATCAAATGACATAATTACAAATACTTAATAGAAACTGAGATAAGGTGTTCCTTAGAAGAAAGTTTTCTCTACAATTTATTTCTTGTGTCCTGTATGTAGCACGTGTAAGTCACATTACATTTTGCTGGTATATGTTTATGCCCTAGTTCTAGTGAGTTTAGTAAAACCACAGAAAAATGTGATACAACAATAAAGGTAGAAAAATCCTATGTAGTAAATATCTATAAAAATTGATGATTTACTTTCTCTAAAAGTATTCAGAACTGGCCTGCTAATTTTATTAAAAATAATTTTTAAAAACTTCAGAAAAGTAGCACCAAATTATAATGGTTTCTTTTTTAAAAAGTTACAATGCCAGCCGGTCACGGTGGCCTGTAATCCCAGCACTTTGGGAGACTAAGGTGGGCGGATCAGCTGAGGTTGGGAGTTTGAGACCAGTCTGACCAACATGGAGAAACCCCATCTCTACTAAAAAAAAAAAAAATACAAAATTAGCCAGGTGTGGTGGTGCATGCCTGTAATCCCAGCTACTGGGTAGGCTGAGGTAGGAGAATCGCTTGAACCCAGGAAGCGGAGGTTGCAGTGAGCTGAGATCGTGCCATTGCACTCCAGCCTGGGCAACAAGAGTGAAACTCTGTCTCAAGAAAAAAAAAAAAAAAAAAAATATATATATATATATATAT